AGGAGTCATACCGTTAGTTATAACTCGTTTAAATTGAGGCACTTGGTTTAACTCAATTAGACCAAGTTAGTTATAAATTATTCTGAATCACCGAATATGTGTTATTTTCTATTTTTAAGTATAATTACATATAATACTTTATAATTTATAAAATAATTTATATATTGGTCATTTATATATATATATATATATATTTATTTATTGATTGATATAATTATGAGTTATTTTTATATGTTTTAAGAAAATGTGAGTATTAGAATAAATGCGAAAGGTTTAAATATAGTTAGATAATTAATTTTTAAAAACATGTTAGCCAATGTAAAACCAAACATGCAACCCGGTTTTAATCACATCTGGTATGAATATATAACTATATCTTTAAAACGTTAGTATGACTTTATTAAAAGTAAATATATATTTTTAATAACGAAAATTGGGGAGTATAATTAAATAGTAAACAAAATCTTGAGAGAATATAGGATATATATAAATGGTATAAGATATTAAATGCTGCAATACAATTGGTTTATATTTTTAATAAAAATAATTAATTGATTTATGCATAAATGTAGGAGTGGCATGATTTGTAAATAATTTTAAAACTAATGACAGAATCTTAATAGGGATTATGCTTTAATAGTATAGATAAGTTTCCTAAATGTAAAAGTTAGATATTATAATTTAACATATGAAATAGAAATTTTGATAAGATTTTTGTGGTTATACGATTTGCAAAAACTGCATAATGGAGTTATTATAATTAGTTTGTGTAAAGTGTTTTGTGTTATGATGTTAAGGTTAGAAGTCTTGAAAGTATAAGGGTTAAAGTTTCTATATACAGATTTGTGATTAAGAATAGATTTTAAGTTTGTTAAATTATTAAAATTTAGATTACAAATTTATATTTTATTGGGTGTATGATTTATATATGTTTCATGTTAGGATTTAGGGTATATAGTTTGATTGAAAAATTAAGGTTTGTGTGTTTGGAAGTTATATATTAAAATTAAAAGAATAAATTTGAGTTCAAATTCAAGATTTGAAGTTATAGTATTAGAATATACGAGTTTTAAGGTTCATACTTAGTGTTTAGTGTTTCAAAATTTGTTTAGGGTTTAGGGATTTTAAAAACGAGACATAGCGTTTTAATTATTTTGCTATTAAAGATACAATATCATAACGTTCCCAAATATATTACTCTATCATAGCGTTTTCAAATAAACAAACGCTATGTAAAATTAACGGGTATATCAACCGTAGTAGAAAGACAAAAAAACTCTATTCTCTACTGCTATAAAAAACCATATTTCTTGTAGTGATTATGGTTTTTCCCATAGATTGCCAGCCAGAAGCCACATAGGGCGTCTCTACGCGATCCTTAATTATAATATGCGCCTCAGCCCACAACACCCTTTCTACCTCTCCGCAATACGCAAAATTTCTTAAAGATTCCAATCTTAATCTTATAAATATTTTCATTTATGTTCTTCCACATATACCACATAATCCAGGAGAAGTAATTAAAGTCCTCTTCTTTCGGGAATCACCAAAACAAATAATCCATACTAGTAAAAACAGAAGAAGAAAGAAAAATTCCTGGGGAGATCGAGGCCTTGAACGAGCCTATGTTTGTAGTGCTGGTGGATATTCGGAAACAACATGGTTGGCGGTCTTCTCTTATGCCCACAAATACTACACCGTAAGTCACACTCAATACCCCGTGTCCCTAGGTTTTTTAACACTGGTAAAGTACCCGATAATACTTGCCAAACAAAGTGTCGCAATTTTGGAGAGTACTTCAGTTTCCATGAACGAGACAATAAAGGTTTGGTAGTTGGTCCATAAAGGAATGTATTAGGTACTCCGTTTTATACCCTGATCTAACTAAATATTTTTTAGACTCTGTAAACATCCGACCATATGAGTCAGGTCTATGATTCCTGCTAATCGCCAAACTCCACACCATAAGGGTTTTGTGTTATCATAGTCAAACAACTTGGAATAGATATATGGAAGATGGATGTCAAGAATGCAATTCTACAAGGATAATTTAAGGATGAGGTTTACATGAGACCACCTCTAGGTCGGAATATCTTGTCAAATCAGGAAATGTACTTAGATTGAAGAAAGAAATATATGGGTTGAAACAATCACCAAGAACTTAGTATCATAAGTTAAGTACAACTCTCAATGGAAGAGAGTTCATCAGTCTGAAGCCGATCACACTCTTTTTACTCTCACAAGTCAACAAGGCATTGTGGTCATCCTCATATATGTGTACAACATCATCATCACATGAAATGACAAAGAATATATCACCTTAATCAAAGCTTTTCTTAAATCTTTCTTTGATATTAAAACTTAGGTGAGATAAAGTACTTAGTAGGGATTGAGATTTGCCGATCTAAATAGGGATGTGTCTATCCTAAAGAAAGTACACACTTTATTTTGTTTTGCGTCATGGAGGTGATTTTGGAGGAAGAGAACCAAAGACTCCACTGGAAGATGGCTATAAGATGTAGTATGAGGGGGAATTTGGGGACAACCCCTATAGAGATATCAAACATTACAGAAGAATGGTTGGAAAATTCATCGACCTTAGTATCACTAGGTCAGACATATGCTTTACTGTCAACCAAGTCAGTCAACAAATGCAAACTCCCAAGATACACCATTAGAATATGGTGGAAGGGATCTTGAAATATTTTTTAGAAACACCAGGAAAAGGAGAATGTATATGTGCAACAAGAGTACAAAGATTGTGAGATATTGTGATATTAAATTAGCTGGTGATAGAGTGAACATGAGGTCAACAAACCGGTTACTGCACCTTCATTGGAGCGAATTTGGTCACTTGGAAGAGCAAGAAGCACAAAGTGGTGTCTTGTTTAAGTGTTGAGGCGGAGTACGAATCTATGAGAAAGCTTACTAGTGAACTCATATGAGTCAATTGACTGCTGAGGGACTTGGGCACAAAGACAACCTCTCATATCACTAAGCATTACGACAACCAGGCAGCAATTCACATAGCATCTAAAAATGTGCTCCATGAAAGGACTAAATATATTGAGGTGGATTGTCATAAGGTCAGGCAAGCAGTGATGTGAAGATCAATTAGCTGATAACTTCACCAAGACAGCAAACACTAAAGTGTGTGAGTTCATTCACCCAAAGCTTGGACTCATATAGCTCCCATGACACTGATCCTCTTGACCATGAGGTGTTCTACTCTTTTTCCTTGTTTGTTTTTTATCCCAAGTGGTTTTCCAAGCTTAGGTTTTAATGAGGAAATGCTTCAAAAGATTTCAAAAGAGTTCAAGAAAGTTCAAAATATTTCAAGAGAGTTCAAAAAAGTTCAAAAGAGTTCAAGAGAGTTCAAGAGGATTCTAGTAGAAGGATATTGTTAAGTAAATAGTAACTCGGTGAACAGTAACTCCTTGAATAGTAACTTGTCGAATAGTAACTCTGTGAACAGTAACTCCGATATTTACTTATATTTTTTTAACTTCTTTAATAAGCCAAGTTTGTTTGGTTGGCCTAGAAAGATAAACATACTTGTCTCTTATAGACACCATTGAAAAGATTAAGGAATTCATTTTTCCTCTTTCTCTTATTCTCTCTATTGAAATTTCTCATCTCTCTCTCTCTCTCTCTCTCTCTCTCTCTCTCTCTCTCTTATTCTTACAAGTTCTTCATTCACATCCACTCCTCTATGCTGCACTCGCGTCAACGTCTCTTCTTTGTGTTTCTTCAGTTTTTTTGTTTTACAACCTCTGCGTTGTTCCTGTTGTTTTCCCTGATAAGGCGATTTGCTTGGTCTCAAGAGCTTGTTAGATGCTTAATTATTGTGTGCTACGTCATCCGCTTCTCTAAAGAGTCCTGTAAAGAGTCTTTTTGCTGCACCTCTGCTCACATAAATTTCTTTAGTTTCTGGTCACCTTCATTGTGCTCCAGATTTGTGAGTTACGGCCCTCTCTTTGAAGGTCTTCGCCGTAAATAGTCTCCCCTCTCACCGCAGTCACTTCACAATATCTCTGATTCCGCCACCAGTGCTCTAACGTTATGTTCACTGATGAGATATGCCTATGACGAGATATGCCTCTGCGGTAAAGTTTCTGAGCCAAATCCGATCATTCTTTCTGAAAGAGCTGACTCCTTCGATGTAACACTTGATTGCTCTCTATTCCTCAGGTGTCGTCATCCTCTCTTTCTCTTGTGTTCACATCTCCTATCTTGTTATCAGAATTACTGGGTTCGAGAAGGACTTTTTCATGGACCATGCCCGTTGAGTCTGCTGATTTTATAGTATTCAATCTAGCACATCAAGACTCAGACCAGTGAAATGATTGTGTGGCTTTGGTGCTTTTAGTTAAACTGTAAAGAATTTCAATGGATTCACAGGAGCCTTTAGTTTGCACATAATGTCATATTTTTCATTTATAAGAATTTATCGGAAGATTCACCGGATTTATCTATGTCTTTGTTTCCATCGTCCTCTTTTTTTTTTTTTTTTTTTTTTTTTTTTGTTAAGGAGGGCATTTATACCACCATGCGTATCTCCTTTCATAGAAAAAACACCATGCGTATTTTCTATGAAAGGAGATACTTTCTCGGATTTGTTGATGAACCTTGGTTTTAGTTTCCTCACCGATTTGTTTTTTTTGTGTAGCAGTCTTTACTAGATCAAAAGAGGCAATTGAGACTACTTCCGTTCTTTTCATAGGTAAAATATGCTTTCAACGTCACTATTTGTGACTTTCTTTTGGATGTTCGATTTTTTGTGAAAGCTACTTCGACAAGATGCATTTAAACTTCATTTTGAATAGTTGTCATCTTTTTCTGAAGAATTATTCCGTTTATCATACATTGTTGTAGTTTATGATTTTTTTCCAAAGAAGATAGATAATTCTCTCTACAATAATGATAAAAAATTCTGTTCCAAAAAGAATTACATGAGAGATGCGACATAATCAAAGACAACATGAGAGAATATAAGATGATCAATCGGTGAAGGGCACAACATGCACCCCAAGTTGATTAATCATGTTACTTGATTTTCCATGGAATCCAACAATTTTAAAGCCTTCTTTGTAAAGTGAAAAGCTTGAGGTAGATTGGAATCCAACGGGAATAGATGTTCGTTTGTTTGTCGTAAACCTAATCATAGTTATAACTTCAGCTTCACTTCCAATTACATTGTCGTAGCAACCATCCACGGCTGTAATGTATTCACTTGGATATTCAAGCTCAAACTGCCATAGAAATAACATGTCCATGTCAACATTATAAACCAAGAAAAAAATATATTTTTTAAAAAAAACTGACCTCTTTGACTTCAAGTGGTGTTGTGTTTCCATGATCTTCACCAATAAAAATACGAGTGTCCCTTCCGTACACAACCTTAAGGAATACGATACCATTGTCACCTTGTCCTACGTATAACTTTCTAACACCTTCAAAAACACCATCGTCCCATGATTCTCCTCGAAGACCACCTTGTGGTCTTAGTTTCTCGGCAGTAGGAGGAGGCAGTGGAGAAAAATGTGCTCCAATAGAAACAAGATCACGATCATCATGCCGTCCATGGAATCCAACAACAGCACAACCTTTGCTCTCCAACACAAATTTTGTACCATTCGTGAGACCAAACGTTGGAGAGGTTCTCCCTTCGGATGATTTAAAAATCAAGGACGTAACCCTCGTCTTACCAGGCCCAAATCTTTTGAAAGTTCCCTCTACAGATGTAATTACTTCATTTGGATAGTCCAGCTCAAACTGCATTAGAATTAGACTTCCCATCAAAGACTAATAAGGAAATGTATATGTATATATACACATATTACCGTATAAATTAACATGTATAAAACACACTATCTTAATATTTAGGAAAATTTCCTCCATTGGTTTTGATCCCCTTTTTAGTGGCATTACTCATATAATATGTAACTTATGCATAGTCGATATATATATTTAAAATTTGCAGGATCAAAACCTTTTCTTCTTCTCCATCATCTTGTTTACTCTGCCACCCATGTTGACGCTCTACAACTTTGTGGTTGTGGTAGTGAAACGTGATACACTTCACGTTAGTGGTATTATAACTAATATACACCGTTTTTATGCTTTCAAAAACACCATCATCCCAATATAAGCCTTCACAACCACCATGTCGTTCCGACTTAGTAAGAGACACGGTTGTGAAATATGCTCCAAGAGAGTTGAGATTCTTGTCAGCATGTCCATGAAAGCCAGTGATTTTTTTATTCTTTTCTGCAAGTAAAAACTTCTTACCCTTTTCATATCCTAAAGTATCTGAAGTCTTGAGGTTTGTTTTGAATTGAAGTGCTTGAATTACACCAGATACATCGTCGTAGTAACCCTCTACGTAAACCAAATGCTCATCGTTGAGATGATTTATCTCAAACTGCATACAAAGGAAACTGTGAACAAAACATGATTATAAATTTAAGTCAATAGTGGAAAAGAGGCGACTCTAGTGTATACCGTCTGCGTGAAACCGCTTCCCGAGAGACCATGGATTGGTCCATCTTGGATTTCTCCACTCTTAACATACTCAAATTTGATGTATTGAATGCCTTCAAAACCACCTCGCACATGAATCTTTGTTAAACCGTCATGGTCAGCTCCATCATCCCACTGATGTCCATGGCCTCCCTTGCTGCCTTTCGCTTCCAGTCTATTAGGGTATATCAAAGTGAAGTATGCTCCAAGGGAGATGATTTTTCTCTTCCTAATATATCCATGAAATCCAATCCGTTCTGAAATCCTTAACTTCAAGTGTAAACTTATTACCTTTTTCATATCCAATCCGTTCTGAAATCCTAAAATTGGTTTTGAACTGAAGTCCTTGAATGTAACCGGATTCATGATCGTAGTGACCTTCTACAGATTCGAGATATTCATTTTTGAGATGGTTAATCTCGAACTGAAAAAGAGTCGAAAATAAATTTTATAAATAAGAGTCATATAAGTGGGAACATAAAAAAAAATCATAGGCTTTTAATTCAAAATTTTATACATGTTGAGATGAAGCAAAAATAAGGAACTACAATTGGATACAAGATTTAAATAAGCAACTACAATTGGATACAAGATGACTTGAGAGGCAACTAAAGGAGAGAGGCGACCAGGAAGCATTTGTTAGGTTTGCCTCAGCATAAATATCTCCTCCCTAAGTTCTGGAATCATTTAAATGATGGAGGAGGCTGTTGGGAATGGCTACAAAGGAAGGTCACATGTCTTGGTGAAGAAAGAGAGTGGTTGGAGAGATGTCCCTTTCACTCCTTCTGTCTGTGCCAGCCTATGGACTTGGAGCTCTTTATTTATTGTTTTATGTTGTCCTCTTGTGTCTATTGCTAGTCTATATTAATGTTGTATCCAGAACCAAAGAAAGCAATGGGAATAATGTATTCTCTTCCCTAAACTCTCTCTCTCCCTTGTTCATATCTCTCTCTCTCCTGTTCTTTACAAACTAAACACTAAATCTCTCTAATCTCTCTCTGATTCTCTCAAACTTTCATGGTATCAGAGCATTTATGCTCTTGAGACCTATTCTCTTTATTTTTCTCATCTCACTTCCGCAAATCTCTGATTGTTTTCTTCTATTTTGGGCAAAGTTCTTGCTGTTCTTGAGCTGTTCTTCATCC